CTATACTATATATATATATACTATCAAACTTTCCTTCTTTATGTTATTTGTATCATTTCTAATTAGCCATGATTTTTATATACAAATTGGTACAACGTTATCGATGCCAATGCGATGATAATAATAATTTTATTATATTATATTGCGATTACAACGGTAAATTATATTTTCGATATACGTATGCGTTAGTTCTATTAGTTGTAGACAAACACATTAGGAAACACAATCAAGTTAGAAATGGATTTAAGCGCTGATGCAGTTGGCCAAGAAGAAATAATCGAAACAACAAAAGGTAAGCCTTTAGCCATTTTAATGGTTATCAATCAGAAAATATAGACAAAATGAAAATGTGACAGTTTGGGTTTGTCTGAATGAAAAAGGATAAGTGTAAGGACCGTATGAGAACTAAAATATAGAAATAATTCATTTCCGATCATTCGTGTAAACCTGATGCGGCAACAAGTGAAGTAAAAAAACAATTTAATAATGCAAGAAAAGAGTGCGAGAAGAGTCGTCATTCAGCATCTGAAATTTTCGGCAGGAGATGTCCCTATTTCAAAAGGCTATGATCATGTTATGCTACTTCCTACATACGCTTCCAAAACAACTTAAATAGGATTAAAAACACTTGGTAATACACTAGATCCAAATTCGAAAGACGAAATAATTGTACCTGATATTTCACAATTTGGTAAATACCACAATTTTATTATTTGACGATAATGTTGAAGAAGAGTTATTTCTTTTCGAGTAGTACTCAAAGAAGCTCATCTACAATACATTTTTGACGGAACTTTTAAAAGTTGTAGCAAACAATTTCTACAAATATACACAATACATGTAGATATTGAAGCACATCCAGTGAAACTAATGTAATTCCAGTAATTTTTGTATTACTTCCAAACAAAACAAAAAAAAATTATACTCGATTATTTAAACTTATAAAAGAACATATTCCAAATTTCAACCCCGATATAATTACAATTGATTTTGAAGTAGCAACTATTTAAGCAATTAAATATGTTTTCCTATACTCAAATAAGTGGCTGTAATTATCATTTCAATCAATCTCTATGGCGTAAAGTTCAGAATATAGGACTGGTAGATGAGTATAGATAATGATGAAATCCGCCTTAATATTAGAACAATGTGTTCGGTTTTATGTCTATTCCACTCTCAATATCGACGATAAGCTGCTACTAATAATTATGGAAAGCAGTCCTGATAACGAAAACTTAATTATTTCATGACTATTATTTGTAGAACAATGGTTTCGAAAATGCAATAATATCCAAAGATAAGGAATTAGCTCAAAACATAGACAAATAATGTTGTTGAAGGCTAGCAATACAACTGGAACGAAGAACAGATTAAAGAACAATGTAAATTTGCAATTTTCGTCCCATGTGCAGCACATTCTCTGAATCTGGTAGGTGTCCAGGCGGTTGGGTGTGTTTCAGAAGCAGTAGCATACTTTCAAATCATCCAGAAATTATTTAATTTTTTTTCCAGTTCAAACAATCGATGGAAGATATTAAAAGAATGTTTAGGCGGACTAAAAGTTCTGAAAATCTTATCTAAAACCAGGTGGTCTGCACGCGCTGATGCTATTAATGCTTTGCACAATGGTTATAATCATATTTATGAAGCTTTATTATTAATTGCTAGTAACACTGATCAATCAGGAGAAACGAGAAATGAGGCACAGAGCATTGGCAAAAAAATGGAAAAATTGGTGACCATTATCCTAACTGAGACATGGAATGACCTTCTGGGAGTTATAAATAAAACAAGCTTAAGTTTACAGAATAATACTATAACAATGGATGTTGCAACAAAACTGTTTGCATCACTTAACGAGTATATTAGTAGAGCACGAAATAATTTTGATCAGTATGAATCGGCTGCCAAAGAAATAAATCCAAATTCTGACTACAAAGATAAATTGCAAAGAAAAAAAATTCGCAACACACGTATCACTTTTTTGGAAGAACCATCAGAGACTGTGCAGTTGAACGGTAAAGAAAAATTCTATGTAGAAACGTTCTTTCCCATAATCGACACGCTATATAGACATTTAAAGCAACGATCGGAATCGTACAAAGACATTAACTAACGTTTTAGTTTTTTTACTCAGTTACAAACAATCGAACCTGATCATTTGAAAAAAAATGCCAAGAATTGGCAGATTTCTATCATGAAGACATTAACTCTAATGAGTTAAACTCAGAATGTTTTCATTTAAAGGAATACTTGAAAACCCTCATAAATGAATCTGCGGACTTAAGTATCTCAGATATTCATTCTTTAATAAAAGCAGACAAATTAGCAGAAACATTCCCAAACGTGGAAGTTGCCACAAGGATTTTCCTTTGCCTCATGATCACTAATTGCAGTGGGGAGCGCTCATTTTCACACCTGAAAAGAATAAAAAACGAATTATGAACGACTATGTTGCAAGAACGGCTCACCAATTTGTCAATAATGTGCATAGAAAGTGATCTCCTTCAAAAACTGGACTTCGAAGATATAATTGAAGATTTTGCACAACAAAAATCTCGAAAAAAACTTAACGATACACATAAACTTTAAGTTTCATTGTTGAAAGTAATAACAGTAAAATACCATTTATAATTTTGTAAAATGTACATAATGTTTAACAACTAATAAAGTAATCATACTAAATAAGTTTTTGATGTTTTTACTCAACTTGTGCAGGCTTACTAAAAGGGCCCCTTAAGCTTCGGGTGCCCATGGTCCCCGGCATAGCATAAGACGGCCCTGATAATAATAATAAAAAACACGTAGCGATTAGCGCTAAATAAAGATCACAAAATGTGGCAATTCGTGCCTTTAAAAATATAATATTAAATAAAATTCGTGACGATTAGCACCAAATAATTTAATAATAATAAACCAAAAAAATTAGACGATTAGCGCCCTCACTTATAAAAAAGTACATAAAAATTGTTGCGATTAGCGCACGAACCAATATTTTTGCTACGGCTTTCAACGAATTACCAAATACTAACTAAATTTTAGGGCGGCCGTGTATATTTTTCGCACGATCGAGACGGCGGCGACGATAACACGACGATTGTAATCTACATATTATATAATAATTCACAAACACATAATATGAACAAAAATATAACAATATAAATAATAATTAAAATAGTGTATGTGTTTGTGTGTGTGGATTGTTCGATGGCGGCAACATGTATAATAATAATAGTATTATGTTGCGGCGGCAACAGTTAAAATATGTTATATATTAATAATAATGTATTAATAAATATGCTATTTATCATTTGGTTACGTGATTGGCTTTGCAACGATGTGTTTTGTTTTTTGTGTCTCCTAACACTTTTTTTTGTATTTAAAATGGTTTAATTTTCGACTTCAGCATGGGCGAATACAGAGATCCTAAACGGGGGGGAGGGGCAATCTGGTTATATATATATATATATATACACAAATAAAATTAATTAATAGGAATAGTGAGGCATAGGAATTGTCTAATTATTAGTAGACATTAGTTGTGTACAGAAATCAGTCATACTGGTGATTATGATGGGACTTACTGTTTTATAATACACTTACTTTTAATTTTAATTTTTAACTAGATACTTAATGTACTTACATACATTTAAATATATGAAACATTCAGTATATATGAAAAAAGTTTATTTTATATATTTATACAAATGAATAAAATGTTTTAAATTACAAAATCTTTTTTTCTGTTATTTTTTGAAAAAATGTTTATTACTTCATCTATGTCAACATGTTCATCTCGGTGACAATGAATAATCGCCAATCCTGACAGTCTTTCTTCTAACATATTGCACCGCAGCCAAGTTTTTATTCTTTTAAGGGCGGAAAAACTCCTCTCTGCCGAAGCTATACTAATTGGAAAACTAGCTAAAATTTTTAAAAGTATATGTATTGTTGGGAACATATCTTTATCACAATGTTCTAATGATTTTAGAGCTGTATCAGGAATATCATTTTTTTCTCTGTTCCAATATTCTTTCCAATAAAAACTTCTCTATTTGCAAATCTGCCATTTAATCCATGTATATTTAGAAACTGATTCCAAATAGATTCAAATATTTGTACTGTATTTTCTTGTATTTTAGAAATTAATATTTATACTGTTACTCGGAAATAGTCTTCTACCTTTGTAATCTCTGGATTCTGTCTGTGATGCTGTATATTGATTTTGTTCTTGGCTTTTTTACAGTAATTTCTAATTTATCCATTTGTTCCACAGCTTTGAAGTACAAATCTTTAAACACTGTTTCGCCTTCTAATCTAAGTTTATTTAAAATTTCAATAGTTTTATTTATGTAGTTAACTGCAGACTGTTTATCAAAATTTTTTTTTTGCAAAATTACGCTTAATGGTTGTGTAATTGAAAATATATGTGAAGCAACATAAAGAGTGATGATGAATTCGCAGTCAATTGAATTCAATAAAACCTTGGCTTTACTAGATGATTCTCGATCATTCCAATTGCTTATTTTATGAAGAGAATCCATAATTTCCGAAATTCCAGTCAAAAATTGTGTCACTGCTGTATACCTCTCAACCCACCTAGTTTCACAAAGTGACTGTAGTGAGGAATGTAGAACAGATTTTAGTACAAAATTTCGTTTCGAACTTCCACGAAAAAATGAAATAATTTCTTTAATTTGTCCAAAACTATTCCGGATGGACTGAATTTGACAACCTTTAGAAATTGCAAGATTCAAGCCATGGTTAAAACATGGACATCTGACAGCACTGGGTATCTTTTCCAGAATAGTTTTTACTGCACCACATACTTTTGAAGCCATAACACTACAACCGTCAGTAGCAATACCAACGCAGTTATTCAAATCCAAATTGAAGTTGTTCATTAATTTTAAAACGGTTTCTCCTAATATTTTACCATTTAATTTTGGTTCTATTTCAGAATTTTCGAAATTATAACTGTGTGGATCTATAAAACCAAGGAAATCTTCTTGAACAGTGTAATCCTCATTAATATACCGTATGACTAAACATAATTGAGATGTATGTGACATATCGGTTGTTTCGTCGAACATAATACTATAATATAGAGACCGCTTTACTTTGTTTAAAATATTATTAATAATTAATTTACTGCATATGAAAATAATTTCATTTTGAGTAATTTTACTTATATAAGTAGCTTTGGAACTTGTATTTTTTAAATGGTTTTCTAATTCCATATCACCAGACTCAATTCGAAATTTTAATATTTCTCGAAAATTTCCTTCGTTCAGTTTTGGAGATAATTCATTATTTTTCAACAAAGGTCCGTCATCCCGATGACCTCGAAAAGGTATGTTTTGGCGAGCTAAAAGTAATACAGACTTAATAATGGAGCGCAATCTATTTCTATTTTCTGTTATTTGTTTCAAATGGTTAGAATCTATCTGACTAACAACTTCAAGAGAAGGGTTTTCGTATGTCTTTATTAAATCCTGCGCTCTCAAAACTGATTCAATATGATATTTAGTTATTTCGTGGGAGTGAAGATCTCCTGTGTTTCCCATTAAATGTTTAAAATTTTGTAATGGTTTATTTACTAGTAAACCAAGAGTCATATAATTTTTTTTTCCAGTACCATGACCACCAGAGTAAAATAAAGTACAATATTTACAATATAGTCCATTTTTGCTTTCTGAATATACAATCCATGGATACATATCCAAATGTTTTTGTTGTAAATGTTGACGTATTTCTTTTCCTTTCAAATTTTGTAAAGAAAATGGATATACATAACTCTTTGGTGCAACCCAATGGTTTTTTAATAAATTATATCGAGTATGATCATCTATAATTTGCTGTATATATAAGCCAATATCATATGTTTTAATTATTATTTTAATATCATTATTAGAAGCAGGATGAGTCAAATTTGTAGAACTTGACGGTTCTAAAATATCAGTTAAAGGCGTAAAAACTGTGGATGTTGATGGTAATAATGTTTCGTCAATATCATTTTGATCGTTTATTGAATTATTACTTTTTTTGAAGTAAGATAGTATTGAAGAACTAGAAGAACTCGATTTTCTTTTTTCACTCATTATGAATTTCTAGAAAAAAAATTTTTTTTTTTAAGTGGTCGTGGTGGAAAATTACGCACTATTTTGATCAATATTCGATATGTACTTTGATAAAGATGCATTTATGATTTGCACTGATAATTATAAATTATTTATTTAAAAAAAGTTAAAATCTAATATTACGAACAAAAACATATTTTTAAAGAGATTTTTATTACTTACAGTAATAAAATTCCAATTTTAAAACTATAACAATGTAAAAACTAACTCCGATAATTGAAATTATTATAATATTTACCTGCAGTAGCAGTAGTCACTAGTCAGTAGTAATGTTTCTTTGGTGTAGTGTACAAATTCTACTGGAACGTCGTATAAGGAGTGTACGGACACGAATGCGCTATCTCATACTCAACAGTGTCAATATATTATGATGATATTATTATCGTAATATGGTTATTGGTTATATATAATAATACATATCAAAACAAGATTATTTTTTTATGACTTATGAACGTAACGACGAACGACGACGCCGGACGCACTAACAGCAAGCAACGAGGCGGTAAAACCATTGTATTCTCTATTAGTACTCTTTTTAATAATTTAAAAATAGATCGACTTGGTGACTGATGTTATCGCAAAATCGTAGAATAATATATAATATTTAATAATAATATTAAGTTTTTTGGTAAATATAATTACGATTATTGAGTTATCTCAATAATTTGCATGAACAAAATTTTAGTCACAATTACAAAATGGAATATTTAATACTTTTTTTTGTGTGACCAGGGGGGGGGGCAATTGCCCCTATTGCCCCCCTTGTATCCGCCCTTGGACTTCAGTAGTACATTCTCCGATACATCGAAAAGTGAACCTAATTTGTTATTCGCGTATTAAAGAGGTCAAAAATTAAGGGTAAAAACAAACAGTAATATTTTTTTTCATTTTTATAAATCATAAGATTCGGTGCAATAACCAGTATGTTTTATTACTATATACTGTCTTGTAAAATATAACTATAATACATAGTTTTAAAGTTTCGCAATATTTTAATATTTATGATTATATTTTCAACTTAAATTGATATTAGGTCAAAAAACGAAAAACAAATTTAATTCGGTGCAATAACCAGGTATCTCCATGGTTTTTTATTTTTACTATTTAATTAATGTACTTAAAATAATGTAAAATGTAAATTTATATATATAGCTCTTCATATGGAGAATTCAATCATGTTTATATTATATTTATACTTCAATTAGAAATATATTTATTTCTACTGAACAATTTCAAAAAGTGGAGATAGCTAGTTTTTGCACCGAACCCATCAATATACGATTTGGAGACAAATATAGAAAACAACACATAATATTTATAAATAACAACAACTTTAATGATAATTCATAATAATTTGTTCCTGCGTTTGCTTTCATAGCCATCCACATTCCATCCACAGTATTTTTGAGATTTTTGGTAGCACTGCGGCTATTAAGATGGTCGTGAAAAACGTACAAACTGTGTGCATATAGCATGCCGGCCATAAGTCAACGTATTCACCATTCGTACTTAAAGACAGTTCAGCTGTTGCTTCTTCCATGATGGTAAGCCGTTTATAAAATGCAACCACCATAACAATCACCAATGTAAATAACAGCACATCGTATGCTGCTAACCATTGTGTCCAACGCCGATGGTTGGACCACCGGAACGCGCGCACAAGCAAACATGAGGCACCTGCTACCAACAGAAAACCAGACAGGGCCACTGTGAACGCATAAGTGTCCCATGTCACAATCACGGAACTCATCGGCACCGTTTGTACCATCTGTAGTATTAATACCGGTTAGAGAGTATTTTATCCCTAAGCTCTTGTCTAAAAGTTTGCTTTAGAGAAATTAATAATCCAGTGTTGGATTATGCTTAATTTAGATGTTCTAGAACTCAAAAAGGGATACTGTTAGTATATTTCAATAATAAAAACTAATCGAAAAAATAACTAAAAGTATAACGTGTTCCATAGTAATGACGTACATGATTATATTGTAATAATAATGTTTACACTAAGAACGACGCCTCTAAAATGTAGATAGACTCTTTTAAAATGAGTTACCTAAATCACTTATAATTTATCAACATAATATTGTGCGAGCAGTTGTTCTTAATGCAATCGTTCTTTGCCGTTTTACTATAGTATTGCTATTGCTCCATTTAATTATACTAAATTCACCAAATTCGGTATGTAAAATCAAGCCGAATTGTATCCGAAATCCAAATCGACGGACTGAATCCATAAATCCGGATAAAACGAATCGATTCGAAATTCAGATTAAATAATTGTAACCCATAGCTCGGATTGGTCAAATAATGCTCAGCACTAGTATCTACGTGTTAGTAAAACGGAGACAAAATATGCGGATACGATGTTATTTCATATTTAGTGCTATCTAGTGAATTAAAGATACGTTTTCTTTTCTATTATAATATCATACGTTTATTGATTTTATCGATTAATCATGGTTTCAAGATGTTATTTTTGGTAATAATGTGATAATCAATTTTATGGATTTCAACGAAATTTGTCAATTAATTTATATTGCTTATTAAACTTTTAGGTAATTAAAATAAATTATATTTACAGTAAGTATCTATGAGGTTTACATTTTTATTATTAATAACTGGTTATAGATCATAATTGATATTTTGATCGATATTAGATTGTTGCATATTTGCAACATTGCACAGTAATATACGATATTTTTATTGTAATTTATAGAGAACCTGTTAGTATGGACAGAATCAGTGATAAAGATATTGTTATTTTATTAGCTAATTGGGACGAAAGTGAAGACGAATCAGATAACTCTGACGATGAAATGTATATTGATAATGATAATGAATATCCTAATGTAAATAATGAAGATACAAATGATTTAAATATTGAAAATATGTCATTAGAATTTGTGGCTGAAGAAGGTAATCAATATATTATATATCCTGATCGTCAAATAACACACACTCCTCCTCCAGTAAGTCAAATTCGTCCTCAAAAAAAGTCGTATATGTCCTCCAATAAATCAAACCCATCTTTGTCCTTTAATACAACAATCTAAACAAACACCTAGTCCGGTGGATGTAAAAAATATGAAGTGGAAAAAAGATAGTTAAGCATTTGATGAAAATATTAGACTACCGTAAATTGGGGCGACATTGTTAATGACGGGTGACTTTGATAATGTTGTTTTATTTCATTAAATTGTACACTATGGCTACACTGTTCGCAAAAAATTAATTTTTATTGTATATATTGATAAAGAAATATAGTCTTATAATGATAACGGTTAAGATACGATTTATCATCAACTAGCACCGGTGAAACTCGCTGTAAGTGAATACCCTAGGTCGGTGAAACTCGCTGTATGTGAATACCCTAGGTCGGTAAAACTCGCTGTATGTGAGTACCCTAGGTCGGTAAAACTCGCTGTATGTGAGTACCCTAGGTAGCTGAATATCGTTTGAAGTGAATTTCCTAGGTCGGAGACAGGACTTAAGAATACAGCAGTTAGAAAAGTCTAGTAGGCAAAACCAGTGATAACGACGAATGAGATGTTGGTACCTCTGATTTGGTGGCTCTACACTTTGGCGGTGTCGTTTTAAACGCGTAAATAATAAGTCTAATTCGAGCATCTAGTGGTCGGTCATTTCATTAAATTCACAGGAGTAATACACCTTGTCCCGTAGCTTGCCCTGTGCTTTTGTGCATGGAAAATAAATAAATACATTCCGAAATGGTAATTAAGTGTCTAGCTATCAGTCATTACCCGGTGCTTGTCGTTACTCGACTGGGCAATCGGCGTAGCTTGCCCTGTGATTTTGTGCATGGAAAATAAATAAATATACACTCCGAAAGGTTGATCAAGTGTCTAGTTATCAGTCATCGTCCAGTGAATATCGATTCCTGACAGGGCAATCCGCCTGTGGCGGATTGTCATACCTCCTGACGTCGAAGGCGTTGTGCTGTTTAGTACGCAAAAAAGTTTAAGTCGAATCGAGCGCTCGATTTCTCAAGCGATCACCAATGAAAATCCAGTTAAACGCGTTTAAACCTCCCAGGTAGGCAATCCGACTGCGTCGGATCGCGGACGATGTGGGCGTAAAGGAGAGATTTTAAACATATTATGGAAAACGCATGTCAAACGTTAGGGAGTTGAAGATCAAAAAAACTACACATAATTAATATTTTTTTTCATATTTTATAGATGGTTAGATATCGAAAAGAAATAATATGCGCTTTCTGTGATGACAAAATATTTAAAAATCAAAAGAAAAAAAATTTGCTACTGTTTTTCCCCTGTATCTTTCAAATGTAAGCGACTGAAAGGCTAAACACATAAAATAGTGAATTCACCGTCAAAAAACCGAGTGAAACAACTGTATCGTCATCAATAGAACGTTCTCGGGCTATAATATAAATTGCATATCACATAATATGTACATTTGAATTGTGCATACTGTTAGCAATAACTATAATTGGTTTAATTGAATACTATTGTGTAATTTAACGTTCGTGTAAAGTATATTATAATATAATATATTTTGTCACCATCAATCAAGCAGTATAAAATGTAATGTGTGAGATCAAAAATCGTTTTTAAGATTTGAAAAATATTTTATGAGTAGTAATGTCATATCAAAACGAAAATAGCAATTAATAATGATCGAATAAATGAAAAAAAAATGCAAAAAATCCCGTGGGTGTGGTTTCTTATGGGGCCGCCCGGAATACGCCGGAACGGGATTCGAACCTGCCTACCTAACGTCGGGGGACCTATCCTAACACCTATCGACTACCGCTTGAGTTGAAAACCGTAACCGAATCTCGAGCACTTAAACCGTTTTAGAGATGCGACGAATACTACATTATACGTCGTTTGACCCGTACAATTTTTACGATTCGCGTGTCACGAAACCGTAAATCGCATATTTATTGTCGTTTAGAACGTTTCCGACGTATTCGTTAACATTTTTTAATCGTATACGTCTCAACGACGTACCGAGTTTATCATCACATACACATATCACGATATCCCCCCCCAAAAGGTATGCGATTAAAGGCATTACGACGACTGGAGAGCAACGATTTTGCGATTTTTTTGTATATAATAAACACGATCTGACGTACGTCAACAACGGTACGCACGTTTCTTTTTTATATGATAATATTATTATATATATATATACACATATATAATCGTATTTCGTACGCTATCGAGACGATAAGGTCGCGGAGACACCGAAAACAAAAAAACGCGTAATCGATACGGATAAACGATTTATCGTATCGTAAAAAAAAAAAACAGTATTGACGATACGACGACCGACCGGAGAACGCGTTTTCCGGACGCGAACGAAATCCGGAGACGCGCGGACCGGACGAAAAAGACCCGCTCCGGGCCATAGCGTCGAGAACGCGACGGAAAGAGGTCTCGAAAGGCCGGAAAACCGGGCGAAAAGCGGAAAAAACGGTATAGAAAAACAATAATAATGAGCAATGAGCAAATGAGCGATAACCGAACCGATAACGACGGCCGTTGGAGAAACGATAACGACGGGGAGATATGGGACACGACGACTGGAAGAAAAAAAACGGAATTTTTCGATTGGTCGGGACACTAAAGTGCCCGCGTTCTGGCGGATTTTTGGGGAAGCTCGTTTTGGTTATATATTATAAGATTATTTGAAACGTGTGTTATCTTCAATCTCAACGTTATTTTAAATGTAAAATAACAACGTTTTAAAATTAGCTGCGCAAAGTAAGTACAAATGTTATTTAATTATAATTTTGTAAGTTAATTTATATATACATATCATCATGATTCAAATCATACTATGTTATACTATTTTCATTCATTATGTTGCAAACAATTAAGTGTTTATTGTCATGGGGTGACATTGATAGTATTGTTGAGGCGATTTTGATAATCTTATTTATGTTTATATTTCATGTATTTAAATTATTTTAGTGGTTCGCGTGTACAAAAAAAAAGTGGGTAGTCGCCCATATGCTAATAGGAGTGATGAAGTTGTGGAAGAAGCTCTTCAAAAAGTTGCTGATGGGGAACTTTCAATTTTAAAAGCTAGTAAAATGTATAAAATACCGTATGGCACATTATACAATCGTTTTAATGGGAAACATGGCAAAAAACCTGGAGGACAGGCAATATTTAGTGATGAGGATGAAAAAAATATGATAGCTGCTGTATCAAAATGTGGTGATTGGGGATTCCCTTTAACTTTAATGGATTTAAGGTAAACATACACAGTTTGCCTATATTACAATTAGTCTTAAAATTAATTATAATTATCTTGATTTAGATTAATCGCAAAAACATCATTAGACAAAAGAGGAATAATAGTTCAAACATTTAAGGATAACCTTCCAGGTGATGATTGGGCAAGGAGTTTGTCAAAAAGACACAATACACTAACTCAAAGAATCACAACAAACATTTCTCGATGTCGCGCCGAAGTCTCCCCTGCTACAATAAATTTATATTTTGATAATTTGTCTTCAGTATTAAAAGATATACCTGCTGATAATATTTTCAATTATGATGAGACCAACCTCCAGGATGATCCAGGTAAAAAAAAATTTTTGTTCAAGCGTGGTACAAAATATCCTGTACAAGTTCAAAACCACTCTAAAAGTGCCACCACAATAATGGTATGTGGGTCAGCAAGTGGTATTCTATTACCACCATACATCATTTATAAATCAAAAAATTTGTGGGAGTCTTGGACAAATGAAGGACCCAAAGGATCTCCATGCTGTGAGAGTCCTTGCTGCTCAAAAGGAACCAGGTATAATTGTACACCACACGGATGGATGGATGGTATTACTTTCAAAGAATGGTTTTTCACTTTATTTTTGCCACATGCAAACCGTTTGACTGGGCGCAAAGTATTGATAGGAGACAATTTAGCATCTCATTTCAATCCGGAAGTAATACAACAGTGTGAGGATTCTGGTATTGATTTTGTATGTTTACCTAAAAATGCAACACATTTAACTCAACCACTAGATGTGTGTTTTTTCCGGCCTTTAAAACAAAGTTGGAGATTTTGTTTAAACGAATGGAAAAATCGTAATACAAAGATGCAATCTATTCCGAAGTCATCTTTTCCAGCGTTGGTAAGTAGTTGTCTTCAACGAATCAATGATGTAGGAAGCATATCAAGCAATTTAGAATCTGCATTTCGTGCCACTGGAATTTTTCCATTAGATCGTAATGCTATATTACAAAAATTACCAAAAGAAGATTACCCTAATATTAATGATATTGTTGTAAATTATTTAAAAGATAAAAGATTTGAAAAAACAGATAAAAACAGAAAAAGAAAAAAAATTAATATTGCTCCAGGACAGAGTGTGACTTCGGCCATTTTAAACACAGATAGTGATGATGATGCAGTTATTCCATACATTAACACAGATTCTGAAAATGAGGTAGAAAATGAAGATGTGATTCCAGATTATCAAACACCAACCAAAGATAATTTAGAAATTGGTGATTTTGTATTGGTCAATGTTCAGTTAGGAAAACGAAAAAAGACTATTTATGTATATGCAGCTGTTATTAAGAGTATTGTTAATAATATATATACACTAAATGGTCTTAAATCATTAGATGACATTAAACAGATTTTCAAAATTCAAGATGATGATGTATTTGATGTTGATATAATACATATTATTGCAATTTTAAAAACACCTAAACTGACAAAAGATGCAAATTATATATTTTTACAGCCACTCTCTGATGTCAGAGAGGCATAGTAAGTAGTAACTGAAGACTGTAATGTGAATTGTGACTGTAATGTTAAACTGTACGTTCAGTCTGTTACCAATGTATTATAAACTCAAGACTGCCTAGTAAGTTCCTAGCTAAGTCAATTAAAACATATTTAAATTAATGTACCTATTTATATTTTATTTTGTTTTTCAATTTTAGAAATTATTATGTTTAACTGTTATACTTGTTAAGACAACTTGTTATATATATTTAGTATTGTTTTGTTTTGTATTGTATTTTTATTTAAAAATTGTTTTATTCTCCTGTGTGTTCAGACAGTTAAGGTATTGTACCTAATCTCAAGACTTCCTAGTAACTAGTTAAGCCAATATAAATATATTTAAATTAATTTATTTATATTTTTATATTTTAATATTTTGTTTTATTTTGTTTTTAACTTTGAAACTATTATTATATTTGTACTGTTTCACAAGACTGAGTTACCTAGTCAACTTAATAAATTATTATCCACTTAAATACTATTTTATGTATTTTTTTATTTAAACAAATAAAATATGCATGTCAATTTCACCCCATAACACATTTTATGTTATAACTCAAAAACTATTTGACCAAATTTAAAATGGTTTGAGATTTATAACTTTCATACCATTACCACTAGTTTAACAATAAAACAAATAGGGGTATCAAAGTCACCCCAAACTCCGTTTGACTTTGATAGCTACTTTAAAAAAATTATTAAAAAAAAACTATTCATTAAAAAAAAAAAAAAAAAATAGGAATGTTGGTAAAATAGTACTTGATACGACGACATTATTTTGAGATCTGTAGCATAAGTATTAAAAAAACTATAAGTAAAAGAACAAAAAAAATCACCAAATTTTATCAAAGTCGCCCCAATTTACGGTACATACTAATGTTTTGTTACCTGATGATATCTGTAAATTAGCTACACCTCTACATTTTTTTTTCTTTTTTTTTTTTTTACTGATGAATTATATAAAAATATTCAACAAGAAACTGAAGTTTTCTCTAAAAAAAAATCCAAATAAACCTATTCGTGTTTCTATTGCAGAGTTAAAAAAATACGTGGGAATAAGTGTTTATTCGTCTGTTGTTAAAGTGCCTAAGGTGAAGGATTATTGGAGCACGCATATTGGTTTCCCCCCTATATATAATGTATTGAGTCAAAAACGATTTGAAGCGATTAGTACTGCATTTCAATAATAATGAAAATATGCTATCTAGAGCTGATCCTAGATTTGATCATCTTTTTAAACTAAGACCGCTTGTTTATTATTTAAACGATCGATTTGGTAAAATACCTTATTCGAGACGGTACATCCTAGTTGGGTCCAGAGTACTAGAAGTTAATCACAGGTAATGTACTAGTTGGGTCCCGAATTTTTATAGGGACCTACTACACTAGATGAGTTCTGAATTATATTAGGTATTACACTAGTTCCTGTATATTTTTTGGAAAGTACTACACTGTACTAACATTTTTATTCCCATTTTAACAGACTTAAGACTGTCTATGATCTATTTAGACCACAAGTATGGTTAAAAATGTTTTTACAATTTTTTTTAAAAATATTAAAAATTTTAAAACAACTATATAATATAAATAAAAATAAAATAATATTTTTTGAAAAATCATTTGTTTGTTGATAAATTTTATACGACATTAATTTTACAAAATGAAATCAATTTATTATTCCTGCATTTTTTTTTTATTCATATTGCCAGCTATAATTTTTGTTTTAGTAAAATGCAGTTTTTTTTCATTACTTCTACAATTCTTATTTTAACATAAGTATCAATTTTTACGTTTTTTAAAAGTTCTAGAATTGATAAATATTTGTGTGTGCTGTATAACAACAACATATTTTACGTAGATGGCACATTTAAAGTTGCTCAAAAATATTTATGCCAATGTTTACAATACATACAATAAATAATAATCACTACATTTCACTTATTTTATCTGCTTCCAAATGAACAAAAATACTATATTCAAACGTTTCGGATGTTATGTATTGAATGCGAAAATTTAATTTGAAATTTTACCTCAAACAATTATGTAGACTTTGAAGAAGCTATTTATAATTGTATTTTGCCAGTATAGTTGGAATTAAATATTAAAATGTGTAGATTTCATTTAGGACAGAGCTGGTTGCGAAAATGTAATTTGGGATTAACAAATAAGTATAAAAGTGATTTTGAATTAAGTAAATATCTTAAATATTTTTGGTTTACCATTCCTATATCCAGAAGAGATTGAGTATTGTTTACCGAAGATATAATAATCCACCTGAATGATAGTAGAATTCGAGAATTCACTGATTATGTTTTGATAATTATATTAATGAAAATCGAGATTTTCACAACAATTTGTTCAGAATTTAATGTATCGATAATGCTAACCACAGGCTCCTGCAAATCATTCCATTCTATTTAATTTATGTTTTACACAGCAAACAAATATTTATCAGTCCTAAATTTTAAAACGTAAAATTGATACTTATATTAAAATAAAATTGCATAAGTAAAAAAAACTGCATTTACTAATGCAAAATTTATAATAGCAATATGAACAAAAATTATGCAGGAATAATAAATCGATTTGATTTTGTAAAATTAATGTCGTATATATTTTACCAACAACTAAATGATATTTCAAAATATTATTTTATTTTATTTATATTATATAGTTATTTTAACATATTAATATTTTTCACTTACACCTATATGGCTATATTTAAATTATATAATTATATTAACATACTTGGTTCTTAAAATTTTAATATTTAAAAATGTAAAAACATTTCTAACCATACTGTGGTCTAAATAGATCATAGATGGTCTAAGTCTGTTAAATGGAATAAAATGTAGTATAGTGTAATACTTACTAAAATATATTCAGGAACTAGTGTAATACCTAAATAATTCAGAACTAATAGTAGTACCTATAAAATCTAGAATCTAACTAGTATAGGTACCTATAAAATCTGGGACCTAACTAGTGTAGCTATTTTAAATTCGGGACCTATGGATGTAACTATTCGACCTATATATGATGAACATATATGTTCAACAAAAAGCTAAAGTATGTTAAACAATACATACCTAATAAACTCATAAATGAGGTTATAAATTATTTGTATTATGCGACTTAAAGGTACATAATAGAAATTTATACCGACTAATAAGACGATCCAAAATTTTGTCTAAATGATGATATTGATATTGGTGCTAGTGGTAATGTGGCGATCTCGTTTAACTAAAATATTCCAAATAATAAAACTACCGGTTATACTTTGATAACTATTATAATTCAGTCCCATTGATGTGTAATCTTTTAACAGGGGATATTGGCTCTAGGTACACTTCGAAAATAGAGTTCCAAAAATCGGTTACGGATGAAAAATAATAAAAATAAAACGGGTTTATTGCAGAAAGGATAAGTTTGTCTAAGTCAACACCATTATCAATTACAGCTTGGAAAGATAAAAATTGTAACTTTGTTATCTACATATGCTGGATGTGAACCGAAAATTTAATAAACGTTATGATCGACGAAGTAAAACTCAGTAATGTAAATTATCCTTTTGTAGTTAAGAATACAATCGTTTATAGGGGGTGTGGCTAATGGCTTAATAGGACACTAGGCAGATACAAATTAAACTCGCTCACGTAATGATATATTAGACTGTGGTATCATCTTATTGATGTATCATAGTAAACCAGCGGCTTTATACAAAGATTGGTAAGTTTGAAAAATCATCCAATAAAAACATTTGTAGCAGATTGGAGGCGAATAGGATTCTTCACTAACTAGTACTAGATTATGTACACCAACAAGAGGAAAAAGTCTACTCATTAGAGCTCCAGAAAAGGTAAATAGAACTAGACACAACATTCAGCACCAAGGATATACGAGGAACTGATAACATTGGTCATTTACCAAGACCACGGCTAAAGAACGCTGCAAGAGTTCCACCATGCAAAGATTCACATATTTCAATAATTACCAAGTGCAACTCTATCATGTGTGTTGCAAGAACCAAAGATTGTTTTGAAATTTCATACATAGGTGGTTTCATCTATCTTATTGCTATTTTCTTTATTATTTTATTAATTGTCGTATTTTTAAGTAGATTTTATTTATTACTATATTTTAATTATCACTGTGATAAAAGGTATTATCATATAAGAAACTATTTTTATTATTATTCACATATTTTAGATGCAGAGACGTTAATGTTTTATATTATTTTATAATTTAATAAGTTGTTTTCGGGCAAAAAGTGTAAAATATATGTTTATTTTTATGTGCAATGTTGTATTTGCAACAAACTGAAAATTAGTTTTCACAAAAACCATAAATCCGATGTTTTAACTATTTTTCCAAAATTTATATAAGTAGTTATAATAAGTGAATTGTTGACAAAAATATCATACCACGTTAGTAGTCCGAAATTCCTCACGTCAGTAATAATTGTATACGCAAGCCCGCAGGCAGTGATTACGCGTATTTCGATCACAGTTATTAAATCCACGCCAGCGAATTGAGTAGATCTGAAATCTCACATAAAATTGTCTGACCCTCACGTGTCTAACCATTTTGTTTCATAAGTTGTCGATAGTCAATTTCCATTGTTAAACCACCAACCATGCAGTTCGTAACCTGCCTGGAACGTTGTTCGATGCCATCGATTTCTGCAGCAGGTATTTCACGTTAAACCATTTACTTTTGTAATAAGCACAAACTCATAACAACATCTATCAATTATGCACAGTGTGATTCTTTTATCTTTGAAAACATACAACGACTGGAATTAGCGATTTAAGTGAACGTATAGATTCAGGTTCAACCATTTGCTAAGGTGGTATGTTTATTATTTGTAATGGATAAAAATTTCCTCAAAGTTTCCATCATTGTGTTAACAGGTGATTTTATTGTATTTTTAGTAAATACCACAAAATAAAGTTTTCATGGTGAGTCGGTTTGGTACGTCCACGGATTGTGATATAGTTGTACTGTTGTGTCTGTCCATCGACATGTAATTCCCGTGGTCAATCTCTCCGTTATATTTATTCGTTTTGTCTGGAATCTA